GTCATTTTGCTTTTATTGTTCAATTTTCTTTTCAAGTGAGCCTAAAAAATGTATGTTGCTTTTCATCCGCTAACATGTTTTGAGATTATTTATTTTTCCGCTTCGAGCTTCATAGATTCCCCCGTGAAGCGCTGACACAATAAAGCGCTACAGAAATAAATCCGCCTCGACTCTGAACAGAATACAACCACATTCCCTAACCCGAACTCATGCTCGCTCGGAACGACGTGTTTTAGTTCGACAATTAAGACAGAGATTTAATTTTTAAGCAGATTATCCCTTAAAGGCCTTTTCTTGCGGCAGTGCGAGGACAATGTCTTCAGTAATGTATGACATGAGAGCTTGACATCTGAAATATTAATATGGAAGCACAAGCTCATCATTACACACACACACAGGCTTCTTCTTCTCTATATTGCATGTTTCCCAGTTACAGATGCCAACGCACTGGTTAATTCATGCAACACTGGTCTTCACTGCCGCCATCTTCCCTCAAAAGTTTTGAAACGCCGTGTTTATTACGAGCAACAGTGTTTCATTTATGCGTGACTCACAAACATGCATCACTTTAAGTTCATTAGTTCATGTGTAATCCAAACAGATGAAAGTTTTATACGGAATACATATTTTTATTACATTACACTAATCTCAGCTTCAGTCATCACGATGACATCGTCAGACCGTGTTTTGGTCTACACACGGCAGAAGCGAAAGCCAGCAAACACACATTATTTGTCATTTGAAGACTTGAAGAATGCAGGTACGACTCTTAATAAAGCTCTCGCCTCATTATACTTTCATGAAAACAGTGTTTTCCACCCTGACGGATATAAATCAGTGTTGCTGCGCACTGGCCCTGACCCGGGGTCAGCTTCATAGACGGACACTTCATCATCCAGCAATCTGTTGCTGGACACATATAGAAAACTAATAAAATAATTTATATATAAATCAAATATATATATGAAGAGTTCAGATGCAAAAGCCTCTAAATGCCATTTGAAATGTTCTTCTTTAATGATGATTTTTATCAAACTTGTATATTTAAGTTCAGTAATTTCACTTAAATAACAATTAATAGGTAATTATCATTGCCATTTAAGTGAAATTACCGAACTTAAATATACAAGCTTGATAAAAATCATCATTAAAGAAGAAAATTTCAAATGGCATTTAGAGGCTTTTGCATCTGAACTCTTCATATATATATATATATATATATATATATATATATATATAAAATCACTGTTTATTAATACTGCTGCATATAAAAATTTGTTTTTATCATGCAACTTATTGTTTAGATATGATTGTAATATTTTTTAGCTATTTAATTTCACACACACACACACACACACACACACACAGAAATGAAATATAGATGTAGAATATTATTTATATATTCATATCTTTTAAGATTAAATAATTAAAATAATATACATATATATATATTCATATATTTTAAGATTAAATAATTAAAATAATATATATATAAACATAATAATATAAAGATATAATCAAATATATATATATATATATAATCAATTTTATTAATGTTGGAAATCATGAAATCTTACTATTATTTAAATCTAATTTTTTTATAGTTTTTATTTTTTAGCTCTTTAAGTTTACACAAACGTGTGTGTGTGTGTGAGAGAGAGAAAATAAATATAGAATATCATAATATATAATATTAATATTTCTTTAAATGAATTACAAATAAAAGAATGATGGAAGAAAGAATGATGTGGAAAACCATCTAAACAAATGTGACTATAATAGTGTATTGTGTGTCGTACATTATCATTATGCTGTATTGTATTAGTATAGATTTGAGGAAAAAGGCAACAGAATTTGTTGCATGACGAACTCCGGCGCTGCTATGAAGAGTGCACGTTTGACCTTTTGACCCTGGTCACATCTGCACTGAAGATGGGAGAAATAAATCACAGCATAAAGCAGACAGATCTGCACAGAACGGCCGTGTAATGCGTTCGCCTGAAGCGCATGATGCAAAAGATCATTACGGATGACGCAATAAATATCAGAACTGCACACACTCTCTGTGTTTATGAGATCGCATTACCTTTTACAGGTTATAAAAGCAGTTATGTCAGCACTCCTAACACCTGGATACACAAGGGTTGTGTGTGACCGTAGGGTTGTGTGTGAGTGTGTAACACTGGCCTCAATGTGATCGTCAGCTTTCCTGCTGATCTGAGAACTCCACAAACCAATTATGAGATCAAGAACACACTCGTTATCTTCCAGCTCAAGGAGTCGCGCAAAAGCCGGACGACACAGTCTGTTCTTCAGTGACATTTCATAATCCAAACATTAATATGTTGCTCCAACTCCTTATGATTTCCTTTCATCATCTGAGCAAAAAAACACAATAAAGTGTAACAGCGCTCGTCTCCTGAAGCGTCAGCTGAGCTTTACACACGGCTCTCAGAGAACTGAGGAACATTAACAAACACCTTATTTATTAGCATATCCTATAATTATTAAATATGCCATGACGTGAATGAGATTTGTTGTGTTTCCATTTAGTTACATTTTGTAAAAAACTTTTTTTAAACAAGGGAACAAACCTACTACTACGTTACCGGAAGCCAGTGATTATAGTTTATAAAGTTGTAAATGTGGATATTTTTCTTCTCTTCAGAAGGCATTTCTTAAGCACTGGATCCGTATTGATTACTATTATGATGGACAGATGCACTTTTATGATGGATAGATGCACTTTTATGATGGATAGATGCACTTATGATGGATAGATGCACTTTTATGATGGACAGATGCACTTTTATGATGGACAGATGCACTTTTATCATGGATAGATGCACTTTTATGATGGACAGATGCACTTTTATGATGGATAGATGCACTTATGATGGATAGATGCACTTTTATGATGGACAGATGCACTTTTATGATGGACAGATGCACTTTTATGATGGATAGATGCACTTTTATGATGGATAGATGCACTTTTATGATGGACAGATGCACTTTTATCATGGATAGATGCACTTTTATGATGGATAGATGCACTTTTATGATGGACAGATGCACTTTTATGATGGATAGATGCACTTTTATGATGGATAGATGCACTTTTATGATGGACAGATGCACTTTTATGATGGACAGATGCACTTTTATGATGGATAGATGCACTTTTATGATGGACAGATGCACTTTTATGATGGACAGATGCACTTTTATGATGGACAGATGCACTTTTATGATGGATAGATGCACTTTTATGATGGACAGATGCACTTTTATGATGGACAGATGCACTTTTATGATGATAGATGCACTTTTATGATGGACAGATGCACTTTTATGATGGACAGATGCCCTTTTATGATGGATAGATGCACTTTTATGATGGACAGATGCACTTTTATGATGGACAGATGCCCTTTTATGATGGATAGATGCACTTTTATGATGGATAGATGCACTTTTATGATGGACAGATGCACTTTTATGATGGACAGATGCACTTTTATGATGGACAGATGCACTTTTATGATGGACAGATGCACTTTTATGATGGATAGATGCACTTTTATGATGGACAGATACACTTTTATGATGGACAGATGCACTTTTGATGGACGGATGCTCTTTTATGATGGATAGATGAACTTTTATGATGGACAGATGCACTTTTATGATGGACAGATGCACTTTTATGATGGATAGATGCTCTTTTATGATGGACAGATGCACTTTTATGATGGGTAGTTACACTTTTATGATGGACAGATGCACTTTTATGATGGATAGATGCACTTTTATGATGGACAGATACACTTTTATGATGGACAGATGCACTTTTGATGGACGGATGCTCTTTTATGATGGATAGATGAACTTTTATGATGGACAGATGCACTTTTATGATGGACAGATGCACTTTTATGATGGATAGATGCTCTTTTATGATGGACAGATGCACTTTTATGATGGGTAGTTACACTTTTATGATGGACAGATGCACTTTTATGATGGACAGATGCACTTTTATGATGGACTGATGCACTTTTATGATGGACAGATGCACTTTTATGATGGACAGATGGACTTTTATGATGGACGGATGCACTTTTATGATGGACGGATGCTCTTTTATGATGGATAGATGCACTTTTATGATGGATAGATGCTCTTTTATGATGGACAGATGCACTTTTATGATGGGTAGTTACACTTTTATGATGGACAGATGCACTTTTATGATGGACAGATGCACTTTTATGATGGACAAATGCACTTTTATGATGGACAGATGCACTTTTATGATGGATAGATGCACTTTTATGATGGACAGATGCACTTTTATGATGGACAGATGCACTTTTATGATGGATAGATGCACTTTGATGATGGACTTCAGAACAGAAACAGCCATCCACTCCCATTATAAAGAAGGGAAGAGCCAGGACATTTTTGTCAATGTTAACTCAGATTGTGTTAGGTTAAAAGAAGAAAGTCATAAACACCTAGGATGACTCGACGTTGAGTAAATGGGGTCATTTAGATTTTTAGGTGAACTATCCCTTTAATTATTATTATTAATACAAAGAGAGCCAATTTTAATGCACGTCACAGTGGCCAAATGATGAAAAAACAATGCATGAATTTATTTTCACTCAATGCCAACAGCTCCAGCTCACCTGATGTCTCAGTAGAGCAGAATTAAAGGGTTAGATCACCCAATAATGAAAATAATTCCCTGAATTACTCAAAGCTCATGCACTTTAATGATGGACAGATGCACTTTTATGGTGATTCACTACGGTTATAAATCTTGGAAGAGCCAGGACATTTTTTTAAATAACTCTGATTGTATTCGTCTGAAAGAAGAATGTAATATAAACAGTAGATCATGGGATTATTTTCATTTTTAACCCCGCCTCCATCCGACACAATCCAATCACACTCAGCTGCAGCTCCGCGCGCACTTTCATGAATGAACGCGAGCGGCTTCAGGACAGTCGCGTCAACGCGCTCCGCAAGGACAGTACTATCCCATCAGCAAGCATGGAAATAATACGAGTGTGTCAGTGACTCAAGGCAACTCTTCACTGCACATTTACTGACGGAATGCGCGATGACAATGATGATGATGATTATGTCTTCACTACGGGACGCGCGCGTTGCTGTCATTCGTCAGATTCATGCCGTCAAAGTCACGCGAATAAAGTCCTGAGGAGAATGGCCGTGCACAGAGAGGGATGGCAACTTTCAGCAGCACGCCCCTGGACCTGCGGAGACTCTTGCAGAAACTAGCCGTCATGTTCTCCTTGAGCGTCGCGTGCGTCGCGGTCCTGTATCTTCTGCTGGGATGCTGTTGCGAGAGTTCGCCGATGGGATGGGATGATAATGATAATAAGACCGCGTTGAGTGTGGGAGAAGAGCTCAGCTCGACCCGGAGACTCCCGCACGCGCTCATTATCGGCGTAAAGAAGGGAGGAACGCGCGCGCTCCTGGAGTTCCTGAGGCTCCATCCGGACGTGCGCGCGCTTGGATCGGAACCGCACTTCTTTGACCGGCACTACGCGCGCGGACTCACCTGGTACAGGTAATGAAGACATGCGACCTTGATACTATACAGTCAAATCAAACATTATTATTCAGACACCAGATAGATTTTATATATATATATATATATATATATATATTGTGCAGGACACTATATTTAGGCTATGTGAGTGAGGAGAGCAAAATAAAGTAAACTGTGACATATTATAGGCTACCCCAAAATTATTAGCTTGGTTGAGCCAACTGGTATTATCTAATTGTGTAGTTAAATTTACCAGCTGACAGATATTCAACATAATTCATGTGTGAGAGTCCAACAGAAGGACGGACAAAACCAGTCACATATCAAACACTGATCTGAGAACTGAGTTCTGCTCATATTTATAAACTAGAGCCAATAAACTGATAATGTGAGAAATGTTGAAGGAGTCTGAATACATTTTGGTGGAAGCCCAATGAGTAAAGCTGTAATAATATAAAGCATGTAATTCGGATTTCTGCAAAGTACTGAAAAAATAAGAAAAGTTTGGCGACTCTTAAAGTGACAGTGAACCCAAAAATTCTTCATCATTTACAGTTTACATTCTTAAAAATAAAGGTTACAAAACAGTTTTCACAGAGATTCCATAAAAGAACAATTTTGTTTTCCCCAGAGAACCTTTCCGTGATTACTTCTTAAAAGAACCACTTTTTTCTTCCTTAATAATATAAAGAACCGTTTTCCACTTTAAGCAATGGAAAGATTGCATGTCAAACGCTCTTAAAGTCAATCATTGATGGGATTAAAGAACCTTTAGCAGGACAACAATGGCAAGAGCAAAATAAAGCAGCATATAATCCAGAATAATTCATTATTTATACATGCATTGCATGCTGGGAGCTTATTCCCCATTCGTGTGTCAGTCAAAAATGACAGTAAAAAAAATCAATTAAATGATTGTACTTTGTTTTAGTTAAATAATATTTTTTATTTAATATTTGGTATTTTTAGGGGATTTTATGGTACTACATTATATTTATAATGCATTTTTTTAACTTTTTGAGCACAGGCCTGAAAATGAAATTTCCAATTTAAACGGTCATAAATCTCGAATGCTTTGGATCACAGACTGAAATTTGATCTCTTTTAAAGAAGACGCTTGGTAGATTATTGCTGAAGTGAAAAATGTTTAAAAAACTGACCTTAATTTTTTTTTACATTTATTGTTAAGAAAAATGCACAAAAACGTAATTTTTTTAATATGTTTTCCAAAACACCTTTTTACTCTAAAACTGTGAGAAAATCCAAAAGCCATAAATCTAAACGAGTGTGTGTTCCACAAGTGAGCTGATCTCTCAGTAAATGAGTGTTCAGTGTGTGTGTTCGGCTGCAGTTCCACACGCTTCCACTAGAGGAAATTCTCATTAATTTACGTCGTTTCTGACCGCGAGAAACACAAGTGTGTGACTGTTGATTCAGGACCATTTACCCTGTTCAGATCATGGCCATGATTTTGTTTTGTGAGTGCAAAAACCTTTACCAAGTTTCATACCATTACAATGATAAAAAAAAAAACTTAAAATATTTCATTAAAAAATAACATACGAGACTGGAAATCGTAATATTGCAATTGCAACAGTAAAACTAACGAATGACGTTAGTTTACAGAGCACTTATACTTTCCATAACAATGATGCAACTTTGCAAATGCGTTTCTGTTCAGATAATAAATATCCTGTGTTGCAGAGCATTCCTATAATCTATAGACACTGTAAAGCGTCGAACGGATCAGATTCTGTCCTGAAGTGTGAATGTCATCACTGTTTTTGATGAGCATAAGTGCATTATTTGATGAGGCGTGGTATCAATATAACACAATATTCATAAAGGTTGGAGTGAGAGGAATAATGCCATCTGGCCACTGCAATCCTCTGAAGTGGGGCTGGTGTTAATCGTCTCCGGAGCCGTCGCCAGATGTTGCTTTATATGGAGAACACTTGATAGTTTGAGCTATGTTTGAAATATGTCTGAGTCTTCTCGGAGGGATTGATGAATCTGGCAGATTGGGGCTTTAGTCTGCAGAGGCCTTGTTCTCGCATGTCAATTATTCATTCATTTGTTTGTCTAGAAATAGAGAGACAGTTTGATCAACTAGACATTTATCCTCAATAAAGTCTCACCGTTCAATTTTATGGTTTGTCACGCCACTCAGAGAGTTGACAAAACTCAATTACTCGGCTTTAAACAGCTGATTGATTGTTTTGTCAATTCTCAATTGGCTCTCTTAGTGTCCAGATTAATCAGCCTTTTGAAATGAAGGCTTCTCGGGGAATCATGCCTGTAAGCGTGTTGATATTCCTTTGTGTTCGAGTATTGGCACACGAACCCCCCGAGCGGACAGACTGCCATCCTCCCGAGACCAGATGGACTCTCAGCGTGACGGGCCACTTGACATTATTGCGAGACCCTTCAATTGATCTTTAACCTGAGTCACATTTTCCACCACGCATAATGATATGATCTGCGCCAGGACTTCACGCGGTCGAGGGCCGACGGATACGCAGCCGAACACAGATCCCGGACTCTGACGTGTGCAGGTCTGATGGAATTAATCTGGTTATCACGCGTAGATTGCATCTGTTGTGTGTGGGGGGGGGGGGGGGGGGGGTATGGAGAGCGTGTTTCCTGTCTCAGTTTAGATCTTACAGAACACCACATTGTAAAAAAAATTGGTTAAATTTACGGAAAAAAAAAAAAAAAAAAAAACGAGTTTGAACCTGTGACTTCTTTATTTTCACTTCCAAAAACTGTACATTTAAATGGTATTTTACTGTAAAATTACATTAAATGTAAAGTTAGATCTATTACAGTTATTCACCATATGAATAACTGTAATAGATCTTACAGAAAAAAACGAGTTTAAGTTCACCAGAAAATTTCCGTAAAAAATACGGTACCAAAATTTTAGGTTTTACAGACTTAAATTTACAGTAAAACGTATTTCATGATCTGATATCTTACAGAACACCACATTGTAAAACAATTGGTTAAATTTACGGTAAAAAAAACCAAGTTTGAACCTGTGACTTCTTCATTTTCACTTCCAAAAACTGTACATTTAAATGGTATTTTACTGTAAAATTACATTAAATGTAAAGTTAAATCTATTACAGTTATTCACCATATGAATAACTGTAAACAAGTTTGAGTTCACCAGAAAATTTCTGTAAAAAATACAGTACCAAAATTTTAGGTTTTACAGACTTAAATTTACAGTAAAAACGTATTTCATGATCTGATATCTTACAGAACACCACATTGTAAAAAAAAATTGGTTAAATTTACGGTAAAAAAAAAGAGTTTGAGTTTGCCAGAAATTTACCGTAAAAAATACGGTAGCAAAGTTTAGGTTTTACAGACATAAACTTACAGTAAAAAAAAACAAAAAAACATTAAACATTTTTATAAACATTAAATGTAATATAAAATCCTTATTGTAAATAACTGATTAGAAAATACAACAAAAATACAGCAAATATGATCCGCGTCACGCAGGGAATTGTGGGAATGTCAATTTATGGTTTTTCACTGTAAAATTACATTAAATGTAAAGTTAGATCTATTACAGTTATTCGCCATATAAATGAATCTGTAGTTCGTGGGGGGCAGGTTTCACAATCTCAGTTCAGATCTTACAGAAAACCACACTGTAAAAAAAATCTGAGAAAAAAAAACGAGTTTGACTTTACCAGAAAATTACCGTAAAAAATACGGTACCAAAATTTTTGGTTCTACAGACTTAAATTTACAGTAAAAAATTTCATAATCTGATATACTGTTAATTTACCGACCTATTGAAGTACTAATATCTGTTTTGTAGCATTGTAAATCACTGGCAACCACCAATCACAGTGGAGATGAGAGTCACATGATCAATCACAGCTCATCACAAGCAGCTTTTCCAGAAAGTTAATATTAATATATATAAACTGCACAGTGTCATTCACACAAACACACACTAATGCAATAAACATTAATTTAACAACATTAAATGTAACATAAAACCCTATTGTAAATAACGGATTAGAAAAAAAAAAACTAAGAAAAACAGTTATTTCAACAAAAATACATAAAATATGATCAAATATGACGTAAATTATTCAATGACTTGTTCTTTTTCACTTCCAAAAACTGTCAATTTTCACAGTAGCAATTTTAATCTTTTACCGTTAAAATCATGATAATTAAATCTGTAGTTCGTGGGGGGAGGGCATGTTTCACAATCTCAGTTCAGATCTTACAGAACACAAAAGCACAGATAAGCGCTGGAACAAGGCTGAGGAGAGAGATGAAGTTTGGCCTCACAGTGTTTCTACGCTCGACCTTCGCTTCATGCTGGCATCAAACCGGTTGTCTCGAGATTCAGTTACAATTAGCACAGGGCTTTATTCTGCTGAGGCTCTGCGATCAGCTTTCACATGCCAATACTGTCACTTTGCTTTAAAGAAATCTATTGGTGTAAGTCACCCTCAATAGAGCACGAGCTAGATCCAACGAGATGGAGAAATATCACAGATCCTCTGCATGCTTTGAAACACACATTCGCTGTTTTTGAGGTCTAAAAAACATCAATACATTGATTCAGAAATCAGAACTAGTTTAGCACTGTATTTTTACATATCAAATGTATTTATACAGCGCATCCGGCGAACATTCACAGCACGTTTTTCACATTTTGTTGTTACAGGCTTATTACAAAATTCATTTATTTTCCAGAAAAGTCTACAAACAATAGGGTGATTCTCACGAAATCTTGGTTTTAAAAATTTCAAACATGAAAATTAAAAAATGCTTGAATTGACAAAAAAACAAATCAGACATTAGAAACAAAGTCTGGAGAATTTGTGAATATTAATTTAAAAACATTTACTTACAATTTAAGACCTTTTTGAGCATAATTTCCAAAACAAGTCCTAAAAAATCTCATTACCGCAACAGTGTGAAAACATCAACACTGTTAGAAAATAAAATAAAATTTCGCATTTTTAAAAACGGATTAT